GATCTAAAGTTAAAGGACGTGTCCTACATGACTGAGCATTTGTAAGAATCTTGTATCCCGGTATTTACTTAGCAAAAATGACTTTAAACATATATTTGTATTCGATAAATTTGTACTTACTAAGAATGAGAAGTATGTTGGTAAATGATACCTATGTGATGGAATGTTTAAAATGAACGTTCTTACAATTGTATCGAAACAAAATATTATGAATAAAACTTAGAATTCTACTTATATTCTTGAGTTGTCTTGTTTATGGTATAGTCGATTAGGACACGTCAATTACAAATTTATGCACAAACTTATGAATCAAAGTTTAATTTTGATACTTAAGATTAACTATAATCATAAGTATGAAGTATATATTGAAGCAAAGTTGGCCAAAACAACTTTTCACTCAATTCAAAAAAACACAACACTTTTAGAGTTAATATATAGATTTATATATGTGACTTGAAATTTGTTCAAATTAAAGATTGTAAGAAATACTTTATAACTTGAGCTCTGCTACAAATACATCGGGGAGTACATAAGGGTGTCCATAATGGACATCGACACCCCCCTATTCGATGAAGTGCCGGTGGGGTCGGCACTTCATCCAATAGGGGAGTGCCTGGTGTCCCTTATGGACACCCTTATGGCACCCCTAACGTACAAGTATCATTTCCCTTATAACTTTCATTGATATTTGTGCACAATATTGTTATGTCTTTCTACTACGAAGTAAAGACGAAACCTTAGATGCATTTAAATATTATAAGATGGAATTTGAAAATCAACTTGGTAAATGAATAGAAGGTATTTGTAGAAATAGAGGTGGTAAATATGGGGCACCGTTTGAAGAGTATTAATTCCGAGAATGGAATCATTTATCAAACAAACACACCTTACCCACCCCAATCAAATGGTGTTATTGAACGCAAAAAGCGAACTATTAAAGAGATGATGAACTCAATGTTGATAAGTTCGAGTCTACCTCAAAACTTGTGAAGGGAAGTTATACTATCGGCAAATAGCATTCTTAACAAGATGCTCCTTAAGAAAATAGAAGAAATTCCATATGAATTGGAAATTTCATCTTCCTTCTTACCAATACTTGAAAGAGTGGAGATATTTGGCTAGGGTTGAAATACTTAAACCTAAACAAGTGAAAATCGGTCCTAAGACGATTGATTATATATTTGTTAGGTATGCCCATAATAGTAGTACATATTGTTTCCTTGTACATAAAACAATAATATTTATTTAGGTATGCTAACATGTGCTTCTACCACAAATTGTATCCGTTGAATTTTGGAAAACAAGTACCGTAGTCCGTTGACACCATGGCGGGGCAATATTATCTTAAGGAGAAAGTGTTTTCACTTGCCTCGAATTTCTATCTTGACTTTATTTTCTTTTCCTTACCTTTTTCCTTTCATTTTTCCTAGAATTTGATTACGCTCCTACGAATTAAATATTGTCTGTCTAAACAACCATTTACATATAATAGCTCATATAGATATGGATATGTTTTATAGAAATTATTTAATCAATGGACTTTTAGGAATTAAACTATTTGTACAATGTTAGTTGACAAACATTGTTGAGAATTTCGGAGGTGGCAAAATTCAGACCAATGTTTTAAAAAACGGTTTTTGACAATTTTAAAAATGGATGGATGTGATGATGCCAACAAAGATTGTCATCCATAATTGTACAAATAAGATTGTACAAGTAGCATGATTAGACTTTTAGAGGTGAAAGTTATAAAATAAAGAAAATTCGTTATTTAAATAGTCCAATATTTTTATCCTTCCCCCATTTAAGCCCATCTTTTTTACAATAGATTTCGTAAAAAATGATTTTTTTTTAAATATGTGTGTTTTGAAATTAGGAAAACAAGTATTCATTTACATACAAAATTATTTAATTGAAAAGATGCTTAGTTAAAAATGAATTTCAGAAAATTTGAATTTTTAAAATGGAACTTAAATAGGGCTACACAAAGCTTTTTTAATTAGGACTAGTCAGAAACACGTGCAATGCACGTGCCATGATATAGTTGAGTACGTAATATTGTAGGTATTAAAAAAATATCTATGTCAAACATTAGTTACATAAAATTTTCTTATAAGTTGCTAAATATTTCGAGGCAACATTAAATGTGGAGATGAAAAAAAATCACACTTACAATTATCGAAAAAATCGAGGATCACATTCCACTCCAACCTTCAGTTATCGAAAAATGTCTTTTTATAAATCCCCAATAGAACAGTTATTGTCAACTACTTCATAAATCTCTAATCAAATTTTAAACAAAAGAACAGGGAAAAAAACTAAAAATAAATAGCTAATAAATCCAAAGAAATAGAAAAAAACTAAGCAAACGTAAAAAAAATAAAAAAAATAAAAAAAAGGCTTAGCTGAACCGGGCCCCAAAGTCATTTTTATATTTTAACTTAATCGACAATATATTTATTATCACATTTTAAGTTTTTTTTCAAAAATTTGAAATCGATCCAAATTGATATTTATATTGTGAAATATCGAATCAAACGAAAAATTGTAAGAAAATAAATTCAAAAAAATGGCATCAGAATGATGTTGAGATTGAAAAGAAATATAAGCAATCACGACTTTACGTTTCACAATT